GGAGCAGCAAATGAAGTCAGGAGGTTTCAGGTTCAAAATGAAGAGGAGAAGCAGCTTTTTCACATAATACCATTAAGCCTGGAAATCTTCAACATGCTGTGGTTCACTGTGGCTATTTTACATTTATATCAATTCAACTACTAATTAGGCAAATCTGTTTGTTGTTTGTGTCCCCATTCATCTCTAGGAGATAAATACTGGGTTTTTAAAGAAGTGACAGCAGAGCCAGGCTACCCACACAGTGTGGTGGAGCTGGGGAGCTGTCTGCCCCGGGAAGGCATCGACACGGCTCTGCGTTGGGAGCCGGTAGGCAAAACCTACTTCTTCAAAGGTGACAGGTACTGGAGGTACAACGAGGACAAGAGAGCAACAGACCCAGGATACCCAAAGCCCATCACCGTGTGGAGAGGAATCCCTCAGGCTCCACAGGGAGCTTTTATCAGCAAAGAAGGCTGTATGTATCTGCAGTCATTATGCCTGTTAGATCGGTAGTAGCTTGTCTACCTTGGGAGTTTGATTGTTGGATGTGGGGTGTTTTGGGTATTTCCTGAGCTAGGCATCAAGTCTCAGAAGTCCTAGGGTCATACTGGCACCTGCAAGCACTGGCAGTCTGGGAGCCTTCCTGACCTTCATCCCAACCCATAGACCTCCTCAACTCCTAATCCACATTATCATAATGCCAGTTGTGGGGGATGGGAAGGCAACTTTTTCTGGTTTTGCTGCCACAACAGTCCCTACCCAAGTTTTCCTGGGCCCTGATTGTGAGGATGCCATAACTTACATTTTCCTCCTAGTTTCTTACCTGCAGCTAGCTCAGTCACTCTGTTACAGGCTCCAACCCGCCTGATGTACTTTTGTCGTGGTTTAACCCCAGCCAGCAACTAAGCACCACACAGCCGCTCACTCACTCCCCCCCCCATCCAGTGGGATGGGGGAGAAAATCGGGAAAAAGAAGTAAAACTCGTGGGTTGAGATAAGAACGGTTTAATAGAACAGAAAAGAAGAAACTAATAATGATAATGATAACACTAATAAAATGACAACAGTAGTAATAAAAGGATCGGAATGTACAAATGATGCGCAGGGCAATTGCTCACCACCCGCCGACCGACACCCAGCCAGTCCCTGAGCAGCAATTCCCTGCCCCCCACTTCCCAGTTCCTAAACTAAATGGGACGTCACATGGTATGGAATACACTGTTGGCCAGTTTGGGTCAGGTGCCCTGGCTGTGTCCTGTGCCAACTTCTTGTGCCCCTCCAGCTTTCTCGCTGGCTGGGCATGAGAAGCTGAAAAATACTTGACATTAGTCTAAACACTACTGAGCAACAACTGAAAACATCAGTGTTATCAACATTCTTATACTGAACTCAAAACATAGCACTGTACCAGCTACTAGGAAGACAGTTAACTCTATCCCAGCTGAAACCAGGACAACTTTGAAGTTAGCTGTGCTCTGAGTAGGGGGTTGGACCTCCAGAGGCTCCTTCCAACACATTTCTTTCTTCCAATTTGAAGATTTCTTCCTCTTCATCCAGTTGTGGAAAGAACTAACACAAGGGGCTTGTGCCATTGAGGCCATGTTTAAATTTGGGGCTGCGGTGTGAGACGAGGGCTGTAGGGCTGGGCTACGCTGGAGGACTGCAGTAAGAGCCAGCCAAGCTGGAGGACAGATGCAGGAGACCCAATGCTTACACCACTGTTCCCTTCCCCTTTTTCACTTGAGCATGATTAGAAAAGGAGGCACATAGCATAAACTATTATGCTTTTATTAGCAGCAGGACAAGACTGCTCCTTAACAAAAGCCAAATATTCTGGATTCTGTGGCCATAAGGACTCTTTCAGCACCTGCTCTCTCAGGCTGGGTGAACACAAACCTTAAGTATTCTTCCAAACACTGTCGCATCCAGGCACGCACTGTCATTCTGCAGATTATGTTAATTGCTCGGTAATGACAAGCACATCTTTACAGATGCTTTAGTAAAAAATAACTCACTGCAGAATGCTTACTTTAAAGTTAGTGGTTTGTTTTTTTTATTCACAGCTTGTCTTGGCCAAGGGGAATGGTGCTCTGTGGGCAACATTGCACCCACAAGCCAGGGTTATGGCTTCTCCTTTAAATCCTAGCTCCAAAACCACCTTCACTTTTCAATGGTTTTGGAATGCCCTGGATGAATGTGTTTTATTGTCCCAGGCAGCTACCACCTCCAGCCTTTCAGGCTCTCTGCACATCCTCACACAAGCACAGCTCATCAAGTTGGAAATGATGTGGTGAGAAATATTCTCTGTTTTGTCTCCTAGTTTATACCTACTTTTACAAAGGGAAGGAGTATTGGAAGTTCGATAACCAGAGGCTGAGCGTGGAGCCAGGCTACCCCAGGTCAATCCTCAAAGACTGGATGGGCTGTAACCAGAAGGATGTTGAACGAAGCAAAGACAGACGCCTCCCCCACGACGACGTGGATATTATGGTGACAATAAACGATGTGCCTAGCACTGTAAATGCAATCGCAGTTGTGATCCCTTGCATTTTGTCTCTGTGTATCCTTGTCTTGGTATACACGATCTTCCAGTTTAAAAACAAAGAGGTGCAGCAAAATGTTGTGTATTACAAAAGACCTGTGCAGGAATGGGTATGACACAGCCTGCTGCACATTTCAACTCATTGATCTGATGAGGACTATGGACAAAAAAAACCAAAAGAAAAAAAATGCATTCGGAAGCCTACCAAACAAAACTACTTCAGTGACCTACAAGTTTTGGACAGCCTGGGACTGAAAGAAGCAGGAAAAATGGAAAAAATACAGGCAGCCTTGCAGCGTGGAGCCTCTTCCCTTCTTACTGCCTCAGTCATGTGTTAGTCTTGGTGTGCCATCTGCCACAGGCTCACTCTGCTAACATCAGAGTCTTCAAGACAGGTTTCAACTGACCTGGGAAACTTCCTTCAGTTCCCTACACCAGTGCTCCCTGTTAAACCCAGCATTCTCCAGTGTAGCTAAACCACCTCTGAACAGAACCATTTTTTTAATAGCTGTCTCATAAATGAATTACAATCATGAAATCTATGAACAGGAACAATTCAGTATCATAAGCAGAAGACATTCTGATACTGAACCATTCTAAAAGATCTTCTTAGTTTATTACAAAATCCAGGGAATTACCTGGATACAATTTTCCAATACCTGCTGGTCAGATGTTTTGTACATTCATAACTAATGAACGCTGCCACTCAGCACAGTGCATGAGGAACCACTAAGCACTCAAAGAGGTAAACAAGTGCAGAGCAGAAGCTCAAGAAGCACCAAACCAGACACCATAATGTTACCTGGCAACATCAAGCCCTAGATTGGGACAATCTGAAGACACAGTAATTGGGTCTAAAAAAAACCAATCATCATGGGAATACATGTTTTTGTTTTGGGAGCCATTCATGAAAGAAATATTCAAATGTCATATGATCTTGTTTTAAGCTCCCATCAGCAAGAAACAATGAACCAATGGTTACTGATACACTGAAAAATATGTATAGATGTAGACTGCACTCTGCCCCTCTTAAGATGCTGGGAAAAGATGAATTGTTGTTATGTGGCATGTATAACTAGATTGTGGAATTTGTATGTTGGGTTTCAGGAGAATGGAAATGTTTGTTTGGAGTGAGATTGTCATTATATTTTGCTGAAATAGTCAAGATACAGTAAGAATTAGGCCTGTTTATAAAACTAAATCCAATCCCTGTAGATGTTACAAACATTGTATGCCTTTGAAATTTGTTTTTTTGTTTTTGCTCACTTCTTCACAGGCAAGTATTTGGCAAGGACCAAAGGAAGCACGACACACAGTAGAACGAGTTCATCACTAGCCACATTTGACCAAGACATAAAAATCAGGTAAAGGCTAGATAAATATCTGAACTTTCAGCTAGTAACTTTTCAGAAGTCTTTTCCTACAACAGTAGCTTCTGCTTATCCCTCTTACAGTTGTGAATGGTTTAGGATGCTGTGTCCTAACCACAAACTTTGTCTGTTTTGTTGTTGATGCCGATATTTCTACCATGTTAAATAAGAGTGGAAGAAGAGTTTCTTGCATTGCAATGTAATGGTGAAGTCCAGCCCTGTACAGAAGCGCCATTCATGTAAGCATATGAACTCCTTTGCACACTGACTATAAGGAATAGGTGATTAGCGTAAGCGTTCTGCCTATAACTGAATTTTATTCAGTGCAATGGAAGTGCAATGCACAGAATGTCCAGTCAGTATAGAAAAAGTATAGCTTTATAATGTCAGCTATGAAAAAAAATCCAAGGATGACAAACATGCTAAAAATATTCTTAATTACAATGATGAGGAATGAAGAAGCAGAAAGATTGTTAGCATTCTGAATTTCTAACTAGTGCTCAAATATTGCTATGGTGAAGCAGGATAGAAAAATAGATACTTCTGGCGAAGCCCACTAAGACTGCATAACATGTGGTCTCAAACTGTATTTTGTCCTTCATAATTGATTTCCATAGCCAAGCTGTTTATTGTGTTTAAACATTAAAAAAATACTACAACCATATTACAAATTAAGTGAGAAGCTAGTAGATGCAAAACTTTGAATTTTAGTGAAAAAAAAAGTGATAATGCCTCATGATGGGTGAAGGAGTGCAAAGGACCAAATGAAATCAGAGCTACTAATTAGGACACCCCCCCTACATGCTACTCTGTACGTTGCTATGTGTACTATATATGTGGTAGAATGCACACTATGAACACCACAGCCACATGGCACATCAAACTCATCTGTACGCTGCCATCTCTTCTGGGACTGTGACAGCCCAAACCTTTGAGCAACTTCCAACAGCCATCATTAAAAAAAAAAAAAAAAACAAAACAACCAAACTAGAGAAATGTCTGGTTTTGTTTGTATTTTTTTCGTCCTGCCCAAAGGTAGGAGGTTTGGTCTGTTCATAACCCTACACTGAGTAACAAGCTGTACAGGCAGCACAATGCCTGAGTCTGACAGCTGCGTATTGCCTTGCAGAGCCCGGCCCCCCCCTCCCCCCGCAATAAGGCAAGCCACTTGCCCTATATTGCCAAAATTCAGCCTTCCTCAAAGACCTACTGCTTCAAAGAAACAGAGAAAAGGCACCAAACTATTTCTAACTGCTTTGTAACTGGCTCCTGGTGCAGATGTTACATATCTGAGCTTTCCAGGGCTGTGAGGTATTTGTGTAGGTGTTTAAGGGGCTGAGAAACAGCCCTCTGCAGTTACACGTGTTGGCGCTGGGACAGGTAGCTGAGCAGCTGACCCACTTCCCCCAAGTACAATCCCATTCATGCTGCTATCATGTCTCTTTTGTTAAGATTAGCACCCATGCCATCCTGTGGTGACCTAGATCCAGGCACAAACATCAGTATTCGTGTAAGGGATTCTTCATATTCCCACACCCGAGCTCTTTGCTGGGATCCTGTATTATGCTACAGAAACACAGCACCTGATCAGCAGATTATCGACTCGGTCTGCCTCCCATCAGCATGGCTAAAGCACCTCCACGGACAGGTGGCCATGTTCTACTTCCTGTCCAGAAATGCAGCCCCAGGACATGCTGCCACCACAGAGGAGCAGGGAACAGCAGTGCTGCTTCGACTAATCCCACAAGCAAAAGGCTCTTCTAGGTGTGCCCCTGGCACAATACACACCACCCTGCAGTACGGGCCACTTGTATAGCCGGAGGGGAGTCCTGGCACACCTCTACCTTGAGCACAGCAGTTGCAGCCCCTGCATCAAGCAGCCCACTACATACACTATATTGCACTTGACCTTCTACTTTTTTTTTTTTCTCCCTTCATTTTTTGACCACTTTGAATAATTTCATCAACAGTAAAGTAGGCTCATTTTTCCAAGCAAGTTAGAAATGTGCTGGGATACACAATCACGACAGTCAGAACAGAGGTGGTTCTCTACCATTAGAGTGATTAGTTGTTCCTAACATATAATTAGTCATTAAACCTCAAGGGGATCTCCCATCTCACATCATGAGGACTCAGGTTTTTAAAAACCTGTGAAGGATCCTGACAAAACTTTCTGGACATTAGAGCATGCTATGGCAGCCAAAGCTACACACCCTATGACTTCTTCACTGAACCTTGAGCTGCGAGACATTCATTCCTCCCTCAAAACTCCCGGAGAACTCTTCTCTATCCTGTCACATTCATCCCAGAGCTTGATTCCAACCTTTCTCATACCAGCAGACTTACTTGTCCAGCACAGCTGGAGTAAGCTATAGTTCCTCAGATCATTCCTACAACCCTTTGTAATACCTGAAGTCACGTGCTGCCTTCCACTGCCCGATAGCAAAGGTGATCTATAGCCATTGTATATAACCCACAGCCTCAGTTCAGCAATTTCATTTTTAAGAATCCTGAGAACCCATAGTAGCAATACCCAGCACTGGGGACATATGACTTTATTTCACTGACTGTTCCTTAACACCTTTTGGCATTGCCACTGGAGAGTGCCACCTTTGAGATAAAGAACATAAAAAGGGTCAGCCAAGTGTTGCACAGTGCTTTAAGTGCCTTGAGCTGTGTAATGCCAAGGGCCTGCCACCTGTAATTCTGCCATTCTGTAACCCTTCACCCAAGCTGTCATTTCTCCCTTACTGTTTCATGGTCTCATCCTCCTGGCCCTGCACCTGCAAGCTCTGACACTCCTAGGCAGGTTCTCATGGGAAGTAACCAGCAATAGCATCTCACTCCTTTCCCCTGGCTTCTTTCGGAGTTTTTAGTTTACAGAAGAACCAAAATTTCATGAACAACAAAGAAAATAAGCATTACCCAAAAATATGTATTTGCAGAAAAGCTTGGCAACCACTGTGCAACACTTGCATCTAATCTACACATAGTACTCCATATAAAGATGTGCCATGGATTTACAGATAATGATGTGTTGTTTGGGCTTTCTTTTCCTAATTAACTCCAAACATTCAGTTTGCCTTTTTGACTGTTATTGAAGACTGAGCATGTCTTTATTCAAATACTTACCCTCAGGCCAAGAATTTGCTCTTGCACTGCTCAGAGTTCATCACTACAGGTGTGAAATTTGGATTCTTAACTACAACATGCTTCACTTCATGTTCAGCTGCACTGAATTTACCTTTCTATCAATGCATCAGTCAGTCCTCATCCTTACTAGTCAGAATAAGTCAGTATGGGCAAACTTTCCTGCGCTAATCCACTGCCTTTCCTAAACAGGACACAATAACACTGAACATCGTGGCTCCCAGAAGAGCTCCTGGAAAATCTAACTATTTACTCTGAGTTTTTCCCCCCATCCTCAAGCACGTAAAAGGGCTTCCATCTCATTCCATGGGATCACTCACCCAGGGTCCTTAAAAGCCTGTGGCACAAAAAACAGCCAAATGCCTTTTGGAAATACAAATACCATTGCAACAGACCTCCTCCATACCCCTGTGGACTCAGTCAAAGCACTCCACAGGTCTTGTAAGACATGACTTGCCATTAAAACACAAAGTTTATACTCTCTCATGGTATCATGTATCCACGTTTCTACTAATTCCATTCTTTATTATAGTTTCTGTTTTCCTTGTACATAGGTCCAGTTTACTAGTTCAGAATTCCCACAAACCCTTGTTGAGAACAGGTATCACATTTGCCACGCTCCAGTTCCCAAGCTTCAATGCAACTTTTTGTAAGGCTCACAACCACAGTTAGCAATACCCTATTTTGCTGTCTGTCTCTCATCCTCTTTGGCATATCACAACCCCCAACACTCTAACAGTATCTTTCCTATTTAAGGATTTGGACTACACAGAGACTTGATTATTTTTCTTGTTTACCTCTAAGCAATTTTTAACACATAAGACACAATCAAGATCACCAATATAAACCAGGATTCCTGCCTACCAACCGGAATGAAAAAAAAACAAGTTACAGAAGTTGCAGAGGAAAAGTTCAGCCTTACTTATTTCACACTTGACAAATACATGCTAACACCGATAGCAATAGTCAGACTCTGCCATTTATACCCAAGAACAGAACCCTGTGAGGTGGCCAAAGGAAAGCAGCTTCTCACGCTAAATACTGAGATATGTTAAGAGGAGGAGACCTGGAGTCAGTTCCAAGAAAGGTAGTCCACTGTATCGAAAGGGCCATAAACACCAAAAATTGTTAGCCGTAGTAGCAAGGAGCCATGAGCTGCTTACAGGCTTCCCTAATGGCAGAAGATGAGCTGTCTGGAAATGGCAGCCCCTGGCTCAGTTACCATTCTAGACAGACCGGATGGCAGGACTCTTATGATCAGAGAAGATCCTTTGGCAATCTTCATTTAAATAAAGTTTAAGGTGCAACCTTTAATCAACCAAAAGTTATAAAACTTTCCCTAAACATCCAGACAGTGAAACAAAAATGGAAGTTGCCAAGACCAAAAAAAAGAGCTCTGCCCACACTGCCTTCAGCACAGCACTCCTCAAGAGAACCCAGCTGAGAGTGATGCAGTGGTGTAGAAGCAAGCAAGGAGCTTCCACATACCCTTAGGATGAGAAGTGGAGGCATTTCTATGCCTTCAGTAAACCTTTAACAGGCAAGCAAAAGAAAAGCAACTGAAATGAGAGATCTGTGAGCAACAGCTCTGTTCAGAAGCAAATTACTATCTTCTACCTGAAAGCAGTATCTACAGCTCCTTTTTGTTATCATCACTCCCTGACAAGGGCAGAGCTCTTAATTAGCAAGCTCGCAAACCTGTAACATCTGACTGGGGTAACTGGTTAGAACTGTGTTACTTAACCTTTGTCTCCAAGACTACTCAAGATGAGGTGGTTTAAATCTTTTTTGATTTGCTGACTTCTAAGAGTTTCCCAGCGTAGGTGGCTAACGCCTGTAGAACAAATTTAAGCCCACTGGCAATAGCATGCTTTTCTAGGCTGTCTCTGGCAGATGCCTCAGAAGCAGCACACATGCCACCAGGCATCTGCAGACAACAGATCAAATACCACTGTTCCAGAGGCAGTCACACACTGTTGCTGTCAGAAGCCCCTGGACTGAATTTGAGAAACTCTGGTTTTAATCACAGCTGATCACTTCAGAATCACCGGCCCTGTGGGATTAGCTGCAAGTCAGGGCAAGAGAGCAGGTGATGACTTCTGAATTATTCTGTGGCAAGTAAACTACTGTATTTTTGGTATTGGACATACAAGGGACAAGTCTATCTACAGCAGAAACACCACTCTAGCAAGAGTATGGAATGAGAGGGCAGTGCCATATATGTGCTGAAACAGACCGCTGTGCAGCAGAACACTGATGCATTATTTAAGGCAAAATAATCTCTAGTGATCAATATCCAAGTGCCACAAGAGTAAATATTGTGTGCTAATTTGAGGGGCCCAGTCAGCATCACAAAACGAGAAAGCACAGCTGAAGAACTGGAAAACGTCAGCAGAGGGATAGAGAGCATTCCTTATTTGTAACTTAAGTGTGTTATTTGTCATTTTTTATAATAATATTTAGTTTATAAAACACTACAAAAAGTTGGGTTTGTAGCCTCTTCCTTGGGCGAGGCCTGCAGAAACAACATCAGAAGGTCTAGATGTCTGTAATCCGAAGCGCAGCTTGACACTTCACTCCTTAGGAACTTTCTGGAAAGTAGGAACCATCACTGCTCATGTCAAGCTAAAAAGACAAAACAGAAAGGAGATTTAGCAGACAAGTACCAGAGAGTGCAGAAGGCATTTCAAAACGCCAGTACAGTCACCAATTACAAAGGCCCAGTAGAAATTTCCCTTCCTAGAACATAAGGGCCTGTGAAAAGAGGGAAGCAGACCTAGCGGCTGCTAACAGCCAGCCATAAGAACAGACTTGTCAAGCTGGCAAAGGCAAAATATACACTCAGCCTGGTCTAGGTAGTTATCAAAAGGTCAGAGCAAGTTTAATTATGGCTCTGTTACACTCAGAGACATCAAGCCTTTATACAGGAACTGTAAAGAAGCAGCAAAGAACTCTTTCATTCAAGGAATTCCTTATTCTTACAATAACTGAGAACTCAGCACCACAGCAATGATCGTAAGAGTTGTAATCAAATGAAAGCCCAAATGAAATTCGCATAGGACATTCATCTATATGTATGCCTAAACCTTGTAAAAAAATTTGCACACATTAATGAATGGGGAAGGTCCTATATCACTACCACTCCGGGCAGAAAACAAGAAAACTTGCCTCTCATTAAAAGGTAACTTGGGACAAAGCCATTGACAAAAAGGCTTGGAAAAAAAAAATTAAGGCAGCAGCAGACAAGCTCCGAAGTCTTTTTGTCTCCAGAAATGGTTGTAGCAGGCATTTGAAATAATTTTATGGCTTACAACAATCAAAAAACAAAGATGTCAAACAAAGTCAATGGCATTTTAACTTTTAAAACAAGATTTGTTGTTGAAATCCATTCATGCCACAGCTAAGCATTGAAGAGCTAAGAAAAAAAGGTATCTGAAAGTTGAAATGGATACCATTTCTCACAAAAAGTATTATAACTGCAACAAAACCCCTTACACTTTCCATACAGGACTAAGCCAGCTCATCAGCTACAAGGGAACAAACCCTTCTGCAATGAGGTAATTGTTGTCAGTAACCCAAAAAAAGGAAAGAGGAAGTAAAAAAAAAAAATCAAAAATAAAAAAATAAAAAGATAAATCAATTGTGAAAACAGCTAGTTTTATAGTAAGATCTTGCCGGTTTTGATCGTGATTATACACAGACCTGGATCCTCCTTACCTGTCAATCAAGGAATCTCTCATGTTGGTAGCAATGGTACTTGGCTGAGCTTCGTTCAGCCTGAAGATACTCTCAATGACAGAGAGCTCAGTGCTGGTTGTATCCAGTCCACAGAAGGCACACCAGTCATTTACAACCATTCCTGCTGCAATGACCTCACTGCCACGATTCACTGTTCCAGCCTAGCAAAACCAAAGCAGCAAGAGTTAACAGGGTGTGCTGACAGTAACACATTTTATTATGCATCCTTATTACAGATCTTTAGTGGAGGGCCTCAACTCACACTCCTGAAAAGATTAAAGCTTCTGCCATCAACAAAGTTATAAAGATTTCAGATAAAAAGGTTAATGGACAGCCTTTGATCTCTGGAGAGGAAATTGTGTGACATTCAGTGAAATAAAATCTATCAAGTAGGAAGCATAAAGTCACAGCAATCATGAAATTCACAAACCCAACTGACCAGGCACAGGATTTTATTACTTAATTTTTTTAAACACTGCCTTTGGCCAAAGCACAGACAATCTCATTCTGTATGAATCAATCAGCAAAACTTGCATAATCCCAGCAGAGAAATGTTTCAGAAGCAAACTGAAGGTGCTAAGCAGCTTATTCAAACTCAGAAAAGACAGGGAAAATGTCTCAGAAGACTTGCCCCATTAAAGTCTTCTCATCTCCCCCTTGGAACAGCTCTGCAGAGAAAACAGTATCTAGGAGCCCATTAGATACAGAAACATTAAAACTGAGAACTGGGTTGGAAGGGAATGGCAAGAGAAAACACAAACCCCAAATGCCTTACCACGAGTGGGACCTGCAGCAACGAAGACAGTTCATCCTGATCATCAATTGAAGTTTTGGGGTGCACAATTCCTCCTTGGTTACTAAAAACACAGTAGCTTCCTACCAGCACCTGATCTGCTACCGTTTGTCTGAAAACCTCAACCTTCAGTACATCTGCCAAGATCTCTTCTGTCTCCTGCAAATAGAAAGAGAGAATAAAGTGTTCAGCAAAACAGTATCATAGAATTTGAAGTCAAGCTATTCTTGCACGCAACCATCAGCTGGGATCCTCCCCTTCGAAAGCCTGCCCACACTTTCACAATCCATTGCAATCCAATTATTATAAAATGCTTACTCACCCTCTATACTCCACTCCAGGTGTTTCCAGTTACCTGTGCATACTGAGTTGGGCCACTATAACTAAACACAACACCATGCCTTCACTGAGAAATGATCTTCTTCCCCTCCTTCTGAAGGATGTTGGCAGTACATCAGTTGTGTCGATACCTGTTCTATGGGCATTCCCTATGAACCAGCCCTCTTTTGTCCCAGACCACTGGGACAAAATTGTCTTATCCTTCCCTATAACTCCAAGAACTTCCTTCCCCTCCAGGTTTTCACTGGACTCTCTGGCCATCTTATGTTATTTTTTACACTTATTTAAAACATAATATGCTGCAAAGACCATTACCTTCCCCCCACCCCCCCCTTTTTCTTTTTTTCCTTTGCACTCCTAACATCAGCTCCCATTTCTTCATCACCTTTAGCACAAACTGAAAGCAAACACTGTAAGGACCTTCACTACCTGTAGCCACACAACACACCTCTCTCTAATGCTATTAAGATACCAGTTCTCAAACATAAAGTAGCAGCAACTTTGTCTGCTCTGCCCTTATTTTAAACTTTCATACAAGAACCTTCCATTTTACTTTCACCCCTCTGTACACATGCACACCACCACATCCATGGCCTCTTTCAACTATTACAAACTTCACCTAGCTCAGCAGTAGCTTGTAACTACTGCTGTAGTCCTGACTAAACTCTTCTTTATGCTTTCTTTATTATACTCATGTATACTCTTTTTTTCATTCAATTTTACATTCACAAAGCAAATTGCACCCAGCAATATACTTCCATATCCCACTCCTTCCCTTCTGCAACGAGCATTCACTACAGCACACTGACCATGCTGAGGGCACACACTATACAGAGTCCACATCCACAAATACAGATAAAACAGGAAAAGAGGCAGATCAACTAAAACCAAGTCAGAAGTCCAAAAACCAATTTTGAGGCTTCTCTCTTGAGAAGAAAGAAACATGAGGCAGCACAGCCTCCTACGTGGTGTTAGCTCAGCTGTTAGCATAGGTCTTCTGATCCCCATGCTAGATATAGCAATCCTCAACAACTGCAAACCCAAACTGCAGCTTGGCAATCATTTTACATGCAGCCACTATGAATTTAAAAGTGTTACAGAGCCATATACCCTGTCAAGATCTGGATGAACAAGAGCTACATAGTCATTGCAGGTAGTGACATTGCCCAGTGCTGATAGACGCTCTTCCACTCGTTGAATTCGTACAGAATCTGGAAGACTATTACGGATATGTTGAAGCTCTTGGTCTGTTGTACTACTTGGGACCAACAGTCCATGTCTGTTTCCTAAAATGACAAAAAAACCGCAACAGAACAAAAACAAAAGAGAGAGAAAAGAAGAAAAGAATGTTTCCACAGAGCTTCCTACTTTCCTGATGTTCATATAGTGCCTTGAATTGCCCAAGCCCAGAGAATTCAGCCCAAGAGAAATAACCTTACCATTTAAAAATAACACAGTACCACAGGTAAGGGAAAACCAGGATGAAGCACAGACTTATCTCAGAGTAGAAATGGGTGAATGGCACCATCTTTAATCACTTCTCTTTTTCAACAGAACTAAAGGAAGCCTAAGGTTCCCAATAAAACACTTGGACTAGGAATTTCCCCTATAGATGCCAATTGCCCCACAAAATGTACAGATGTTGCTTGTTTGCATTACTTTACTGTGGCAAAGCAGTAAGATGGGATGGACAAAGACATTCTTTTCACAGGAACAAAACTCAAGCAAGAAGTTTGTCGGACTGAATAGGGTCTCACTAGCCAGAGACAGATGAAAGACTTTTCTTTGACTTTCACATTTGTTAATGCCTCCCCTCTCCCCGGGGTCTGCCCCTCCAGTGCTGGCGCTGAAACATTAACCTTAAGAAAAATGAAACTCCTCCCAGTTTATCAGAAAGTAGACTTACGTGTGTCTTTAGCCCATCTTCAAGCCCTGAGAGGCAAACACTCCCCACTACCCCAGTTCTTTGTTACTGGGGGAGTTTTAGTTTTTTCGATTTTCACTTCTCCTCTTCACACACTTGAAGCATTAAAATAAAACAGCTGAGGACGAGGGGTGCTGCCCGTTGGACCCCCCTGCCACAGTCACACCCACAGTATGTCACAGCGCGCACCACCCGAATTCGGAACTGTTTTCCCGTTTCCACCGGAGCCCCTCCAGGGCTCTTCTCGCCCCGAGGCCCCGGCCGGGCCCCAGTTCTGGGGGAGAAGGGCCGCCCCGTCACCTACCCACACACATTCTGCCGATGATGCGGCAGCCGGCGATGGAGGCGTGCACCACCGGGATGGTCCCGAAGAGCTCCCCCTCGAAGACGCTGCAAGGAGAAAGCGCCGTTAGGGTACTGCCGTGGGGCTGAGCGAGGCGGCGGCGGCAGCCGGGCCGGGCCCTCGGGGCTCCCTCACCTGTAGAAGTTCTCGGAGCCGCCGATGGCCACAAGGCAGTAGGCGTTGGTGAGCTTAGCGAAGCAGCCCAACTCGTTGTTGTTCTCGAAGCTGGCGCGGACAGCCATGGCCGGGCGGGGACGGACCCTGCGGCGGGGAGAGACCCAACCGGCAACGGCCGCCGCAGCCTCTGCCGGACGCACGCGGCCTCCCCGCTTCCGGCGGCGGCGGGCGGAAGGCGCGGGGCAGAGCGGCCCCGGCCGCGCCTGGCG